TGTGCCAATATTCCTTTAATGCATGGACCCTGCCCTTTTAGTCGATAACAAACTTGGATGCTTTTATCAAGCATCTGAAGAGCATCGTCAAACCTATTCTGGTCTGCCAACATCCCTGCAATGCCAGCGTATGCAACTGCAACTTCAGGGTAATCTTCCCCGTGACTTTGTAGTAGTTTTGAAAGTACAGCTTTTTGGATCTTGATTGCCTCTGAAAACTTGCCTTGAAATTGCAATGCCCCACTTAGATGTTGGCTGACATCCATCAAATCAGACGATTTTGCCGGCAGATCGTCCATGATATCAAGAGCTTTACGGAGCGTTTCTTCGGCTTTTTCGTCGTCATTTTGTTTCAGAAGTGCAATACCAATGTATTTGTAGGTATTTGCTGTATTAAGATGTTTTTCTCCCACTTTCTTCAACTGTATGTCAAGAGCTCGTTTGTGTTGCTCCAAGGCTTGATCTCTCCTCCCTTCCCTCAGCAGCACATCTCCAATGCAGTTGAGCGTCAAGGCCACATCAAGACTATCTCCACCAAAATCTTTCATTTGTATCTTCAACGCTCTCTGGAAAATCTCCTTTGCCTTTATATGGTTTCTTTTACTACGATAGGCATGGCCTTGCTGCAACAGAATCTTGGCCTCCATAGTTTTCCCCCGTTTCTATAGGGCCTCTTCTTCTCTGTTTTGAATCGCTAAAAGGTAAATACGATTTTAGGTTACTAACTGATGTGCATGTGATATTGTGTCGATGCTTTGAACTTTTGTTCATTGTCAATACATAATATATTCTCACTCATATATATTACTTCAGTATTCGTCTGTCATCATCGCATGTCGTGTGGACGTAGTGTGGGGCATCGCTTATTGCATCAAATGCATTACAATAATCATCAGGTGAGATGGACAGACTTTTATTTCTATTGTATGCACAGTGTACGAGTAGAGACGGTGTATTAGACGACTGTCAACTGTGAACAAAAATATTTGTGCTGAAAAACAATGTGTTAGTATTAATAGTTCATCCCATCATTCCAACTATAGGGTACAGTCGTAACGGAACCAGTTGTCTTTGCTTCGCGTAATTTTTGTGAGCACACCTAAGTTTATACTTCTTCTTGTAATCATTCTGCTCATATTGAATAGTACGGTACTGCAGTGCTGT